CCCCCCCCCTTTTTATTTGAACCTAGGATTATTTTAACTTGACTTTAATAGGGTACATTAAATACAAAAAATTTTATATTGATGCGACATTAGCTTTTAGATATTTTTTAAACATAAATCCTTTTTTAACCTGAAGTATTAATCAACATAATCTTTTATCCTAAAAAAATTAAATTGGATGGTGAGAAGAAAAAGATTTAAAAGGAAAATAATTCTTGCTAAATCCTATAGAAGAATTAAAAATAAAAGTAACAACAAATTAAACTAAGAAAAATTGCCAAAGGTTACAATAATATTCTATAAAACCGAAAAAAATACAAAAGATTATGGGACTCGCATGCTAAGACACGATTCATATCTCATTCGATGAGGACCAAAATAAATAATAATTTACCTCGATATACTTTATTGTGTTAGTTCAAATGATCCAAAAGCTTCTACGATCTAGAATCGGCAACTTAAATTGGGAGAAAGAAAGCACAAAAGTTAGACAACACCAAATTAAGAACATAAAAGGAGATGATAAATAGAAGCAAAAGCACTAATAAGCAACAAAAGAGTTTGAATCACAATCAACGATTAAGACTTAAACAACCCTAATAGAAATATCAAATTAAGACTTAAACAACCCTAATGAAAATATCAAACTTCTCGTATGGCAAACTAAAAAGAATATAAAAGAGAATTCAAAGCAAGAGCCTTTCCAAGTTAAAGCAATAATAAAAAATGAAAGACAATATGGAAAAGACAACAAAACTTACTCTTAAAGCAATAATAAAATTTTTAAACGACGCAGAAACTAAACCTTAGTTTCATGAAAAATGGTACACGTTTCTAATGCCCTTTAACAGGGATATTCATTAATAATAAGTTTTCTATCTGTTAAATGTTTTCCTTTTATACCTACTGAAAATTTGACTTTTCTTTAATAGAGATATTAAATGTTTCCTACTTATTCTCTTTTAAGTTCTATTTTCCTTTTTTAACCTACGAAAATCACAATTTGTGATGGATATTAATTGAAGAAGTTGTTTTTTACTTATTCTCTTCTTCTTTCTCCTTTTTTTGTAATACGTTAGTTTCATTTTTTTCTCCCAAAAATACCTTTTTGATATTTACAATTATATCCAACTTAAAATCCACTTACAATGGATAAAAAAACGAACAATATTTTGCTAAAGATTTTCGTGCTTTTAATATAACTAGCTTTAGGGTACGTGCGTTGCACGTATTTATCGTGTCAATTAATTAAAATTTCTGTAAAAGAACAAGTTATGTAAAATTATAATGGACATTAAAGTAGATACAAATAAAGAATATTAAAAGTAAGTATGCATGTATATTATTGTGGAAAAAAATACATGTAAATTACTAAATTATTAATCATAGGAGTAAAATATTGTATGTACATTTAATGTTAGATAAAAATATATATATATATGTAATAAGAATATTCTGGAGAGTAAAGTTTTATGTGATATATGCGAAAGAAAATTTGTTGGTGATGTATAGTTATATATATTAGGAGTTCTATATAGTTAAAATAATAATTAAATTTTTAAATAATAGAGGATTAATCAAATTATAGCTTTTTTCTAATATGAAAGTTGTTTTAAAGAATAAAAATGCGAATAAAATTTTGCTAAGGAGATTCATGCTTTTAATATAGTATCAATAGATGCAAAGTACGTGCATTGCATCTTATTGTACGTTCGTTGGGCGTTACCCCGTATTAATAAGAATAATATTTTTTAAAACGACATAAGTATTATTCAAAAAATGTGTTTACGTTATAATATAAGAATTAACAAAAATTAAAATTTTAAATGATAATTGTGTCAACCATGTTTAAAATTTTGATCTATTCTAGTAGTTCTTCCTTTAATTTGTTCGAATACTTGCTTCATTATACAAAAATATCATAGATTGAAAGGTGAAAATATATTTTGTGCCTACGCGCTTTAAAATTTTTAGAACTATAATAATTAAGACCCTGAAGCCTAAAAATGATGTTCGAAACTAAAAATATGATTTCAAGGCATTTGGCCTACATGCCTTAGCCTAATATCAATTTGTAATATATGGTTTTTAAGCTTCTAAATCTCAAAAAGTGATTTTCTTTTACAAATAAGGTATAGTACATAATTAGAATAGGAAAAAAATTTAATACATAAAATTTAATTAATTTTGACGTCCTAAATATTTAAGAAATAATTAAGGTCCTAACTTTTAAAAATAATAATTAAATGACTATTTTGTTCATTGTAATTTTTTTGACACTTCCTACAGTAAAACTATGCAATTTTTGATGATAAAAATAATAGAATAGTAAAGCTTCGTTTATATATGCATTACATATATAATTGAAATAGGAAAAGATTCATGTAAGGTAAAAATAAAGACTCCTAAAATAAAAAGGAGTTCAAAGTGCTTATTTTTTTACCTAATAACTTATAAAAAAAATTAATCTAAACCTAAAATGGGTACAAAGTGGTTGAAACTTTCCTAGTATAAAACGAAAGTGCTTGAAATTTAATTGAGTCAAAATTTTATTTAAAAAGCCTCCTAAAATTAAAAGGAGTTACAAAGTGGTTGAATACTTTCCTAAGATAAATTGTATTTGAAATTTAATACTTCTAAATTTAAGTGGAGGTAGAAAGTAAAAAACTATCATAAATTTAAAACTAAATGGGGTTTGAAAGTGACGAAAATTTTATTAAAAGATCAATCTTAAACATATAAGGAGTACAAAGTTTGGGAAATTTTTATAGTGGTAATTAAAAGTTCATGAAATTTAACACTACTAAATCTACATGGATTTGAAAAGGCACGACTTGTAGAATTAAAAGGAATAGAAAATTAAAGTCGTAAATAGTAGGAGAATAATTAAATGAGTATCCCTAAATATTAGGGAATTTATTAAATAAATATTTTTAATTATTAGAGAAATAATTAAATGACTTTCGTCTAGTGTGAATTTTATTTTTAGAGGGTGAACAAGGCAAATGATATTTCGCTAAGGGCTTTCGTGCTTTTAGCCCGAAAACAGATGCGTCGGAATATTATCAGGTGCCGAGATATTTCCAAGTTCGATCCAGAAGAGACAGATGCAACGAAATCCACGGCGGAAGAACTGGAGCAAGTTGCATTATTTGAAGAATTCCTAAAAAGGAAATTCCACTTGGGGAGAGGACTGCACCCGAAACTCAGCGCGTTGCGCGTGTATTCTA